AAGCTTTAGTGTTTAGGAATAGGGTTTAGCGCTAAATCCTAAAGCTTTAGTGTTTAGGAATAGGGTTTAGCGCTAAATCCTAAAGCTTTAGTGTTTAGGAATAGGGTTTAGCGCTAAATCCTAAAGCTTTAGTGTTTAGGAATAGGGGTTGGGGGCTGATTTCTGGAAAATCGGAGGCAGATTTTGGAGTGATAAGTTCTGTTCATAAAATGTGCATTTTAATTAGGGCAGGGGCCGATCTTGGGGTTCCGCCCATTCTGGTGCCTAAATCCTAAAGAATTGCGCTAAATCCTAAAGCTTTAGTGTTTAGGAATAGAGTTTAGCGCTAAATCCTAAAGCTTTAGTGTTTAGGAATAGGGTTTGGCGCTAAATCCTAAAGCTTTAGTGTTTAGGAATAGGGTTTAGCGCTAAATCCTGAAGCTTTAGTGTTTAGGAATAGGGTTTAGCGCTAAATCCTAAAGCTTTAGTGTTTAGGAATAGGGTTTAGCGCTGAATCCTAAAGCTTTAGTGTTTAGGAATAGGGTTTAGCGCTAAATCCTAAAGCTTTAGTGTTTAGGAATAGGGTTTAGCGCTAAATCCTAAAGCTTTAGTTGTTTAGGAATAGGGTTTAGCGCTAAATCCTAAAGCTTTAGTGTTTAGGAATAGGGTTTTGGCGGCTGATTTCTGGAAAATCGGAGGCAGATTTTGGAGTGATGAATTCTGTTCATAAAATGTGCATTTTAATTAGGGCAGGGGCCGATCTTGGGGTTCCGCCCATTCTGGTGCCTAAATCCCAAAGAATTGCCCTAAATCCTAAAGCTCTAGTGTTTAGGAATAGGGTCTAGCGCCAAATCCTAAAGCTTTAATGTTTAGGAATAGGGTTTAGCGCTAAATCCTAAAGCTTTAGTGTTTAGGAATAGGGTTTAGCGCTAAATCCTAAAGCTTTAGTGTTTAGGAATAGGGTTTAGCGCTAAATCCTAAAGCTTTAGTGTTTAGGAATAGGGTTTAGCGCTAAATTCTAAAGCTTTAGTGTTTAGGAATAGGGTTTAGCGCTAAATCCTAAAGCTTTAGTGTTTAGGAATAGGGTTTAGCGTTAAATCCTAAAGCTTTAGTGTTTAGGAATAGGGTTTAGCGCTAAATCCTAAAGCTTTAGTGTTTAGGAATAGGGTTTGGCGGCTGATTTCTGGAAAATCGGAGGCAGATTTTGGAGTGATAAATTCTGTTCATAAAATGTGCATTTTAATTAGGGCAGGGGGCGATCTTGGGGTTCCGCCCATTCTGGTGCCTAAATCCTAAAGAATTGCGCTAAATCCTAAAGCTTTAGTGTTTAGGAATAGGGTTTAGCGCTAAATCCTAAAGCTTTAATGTTTAGGAATACGGTTTAGCGCTAAATCCTAAAGCTTTAATGTTTAGGAATAAGGTTTAGCGCTAAATCCTAAAGCTTTAGTGTTTAGGAATAGGGTTTAGCGCTAAATCCTAAAGCTTTAGTGTTTAGGAATAGGGTTTAGCGCTAAATCCTAAAGCTTTAGTGTTTAGGAATAGGGTTTAGCGCTAAATCCTAAAGCTTAGTGTTTAGGAATAGGGTTTAGCGCTTAATCCTAAGCTTTTAGTGTTAGGCACAGGTTTAGCGCTAAATCCCTAAAGCTTTAAAACTGTTTTAGGAATAGGGTGTAGCGCTAAATCTAAAGCTTTAGTTTTTATGATAGGGTTTTAGCGTACTCCTAAGCTTTAGTTGTTTTAGGAATGCATTTTAATCATAAATACGTGGTTTTAGCGCTAAATCCTAAAGCTTTAGTGTTTAGGAATAGGGTTTAGCGCTAAATCCTAGAGCTTTAGTGTTTAGGAATAGGGTTTGGCGGGTGATTTCTGGAAAATCGGAGGCAGATTTTGGAGTGATAAATTCTGTTCATAAAATGTGCATTTTAATTAGGGCAGGGGCCGATCTTGGGGTTCCGCCCATTCTGGTGCCTAAATCCTAAAGAATTGCGCTAAATCCTAAAGCTTTAGTGTTTAGGAATAGGGTTTAGCGCTAAATCCTAAAGCTTTAATGTTTAGGAATACGGTTTAGCGCTAAATCCTAAAGCTTTAATGTTTAGGAATAGGGTTTAGCGCTAAATCCTAAAGCTTTAGTGTTTAGGAATAGGGTTTAGCGCTAACTCCTAAAGCTTTAGTGTTTAGGAATAGGGTTTAGCGCTAAATCCTAAAGCTTTAGTGTTTAGGAATAGGGTTTAGCGCTAAATCCTAAAGCTTTAGTGTTTAGGAATAGGGTTTAGCGCTAAATCCTAAAGCTTTAGTGTTTAGGAATAGGGTTTAGCGCTAAATCCTAAAGCTTTAGTATTTAGGAATAGGGTTTAGCGCTAAATCCTAAAGCTTTAGTGTTTAGGAATAGGGTTAACTGGCGGCTGTTTCTGGGCAAATCGGAGGCAAATTTTGGAGTGCTAAACTCTGTTCAAAGTTCTTTTATTAGGGCATGGGCCGATTCTTTAGGGTTCCGCCCTTCTGTACCTAAATATCCTAAGAATAGCGCTAAATCCTAAAGCTTAGTGTTTAGGATAGGGTTTAGCGCTAATCCTAATCTTAGTGTTTAGGAATAAGGTTTAGCGCAAATCCTAAAGCTTTAATGTTTTAGAAATAGGGTTTTAGCGCTAAATCTAAAAGCTTTAGTGTTTTAGGAATAGTTTTAGGCTAAATCTAAAGCTTTAGTGTTTAGGAATAGGGTTTAGCGCTAAATCCTAAAGCTTTAGTGTTTAGGAATAGGGTTTAGTGCTAAATCCTAAAGCTTTAGTGTTTAGGAATAGGGTCTAGCGTTAAATCCTAAAGCTTTAGTGTTTAGGAATAGGGTTTAGCTCTAAATCTTAAAGCTTTAGTGTTTAGGAATAGGGTTTAGCGCTAAATCCTAAAGCTCTAGTGTTTAGGAATAAGGTTTAGCGCTAAATCCTAAAGCTTTAGTGTTTAGGAATAGGGTTTAGCGCTAAATCCTAAAGCTTTAGTGTTTAGGAATAGGGTTTAGCGTTAAATCCTAAAGCTTTAGTGTTTAGGAATAGGGTTTAGCGCTAAAGCCTAAAGCTTTAGTGTTTAGGAATAAGATTTAGCGCTAAATCCTAAAGCTATAGTGTTTAGGAATAGGGTTGGCGCTAAATCCTAAAGCTTTAGTGTTTAGGAATAGGGTTTGGCTGCTGATTTTTGGAAAATCGGAGGCAGATTTTGGAGTGATAAATTCTGTTCATAAAAAGTGCATTTTAACGAGGCTCGAAGCCGATCTTGGGGTTCCCCCCATTCTGGGTCCTAAATCTTAAAGCTTTAGTGTTTAGGAATAGGGTTCGGCAGCTGATTTTTGGAAAATCGGAGTCAGATTTTGGAGTGATAAACACTGTTCATAAAAAGTGCATTTAAACTAGGCTCGAATCCGATTTTGGGGCTCCCCTCATTCTGGTTCCTATATCCTAAGGCTTTGGGGTTTAGGAATAGGGTTTGGCGCTAAATACTGTTTAACGATAGATCTTGGTGTTCAGGACTATGGTTTACGACGCTGTTTCGATATGTCGCTTGAGCCCGATTAGTTCTTCGATGCTTGCGGCACCATCGCTCGCACACACATTTGACCAAGCAAGAATCTTGCATGCATGGATCTTAACTGACAGCAGAATAACAGGAGACCTTCCTTTTGTTGACCGCGAGGCCTTCTCTGTACACTGTAGGTGAAAGGCATTCGCCTTCTTGCCTGAGGTCTGGATTCAGTCCGAGTCAACGACGAGAAATGGGCCGGTGTCGGTTGCTTCTCGCGCGAAAGAAGTCGGAGAAGGAGAGTCGAAGATTTCCATCACGGTGTTCTCCTCCGGTTGCCCGTCGTCTGAGGATCTAGCCCATGCGAGATTCAGCTCCTGGCACACGACGAAGAAACGCAGTGACTCCACGTGTATTTCCGTGATGAAAATTGTCGCTCGCTCGCCTCCAAAGCGTACCGGGACCATCCAACCGGAGGGATCTCGTAGCATATGCGGCAGCACGTCGACAAACAGGTACATGGCGACGGCATGTCGACGAAGGAAGTCCAGGCTCCCGCCGATCTGCCGGAGGAATGGCCGGTTCAGCGTGTGGAGCAGGTCGGTTACCTCCACACTGGCACGGCGCGCGTCCGCATCCAAATCGGCGGGCACCGTGGCCGACATGTTCCAGTCGAGCTCCAGCCATTGCAGGACGGATCGGTGATGGACGTTCACGTGGACGCCGACAGGTTGCAGATCCGGCATCCGCGGGCAGCGCATTCCGTGCTGCAGCAATGGCTCCAGGGCGGTCGAGACCCGCGCCCGCGTCGCCGCGAAGGTGGCACAGCACCGAACCAAGCAGCTTGCCGGTGGCTGCGAATGCGACACCAGCATTCGAGCACATTCGCTCGGCAGCAGCCACTCCGGCAGGAGCTCTGCGACGACCTCTGTTGGAACACTGCTATTGTCACGGGCCATGCTCTCGGACTGGGCTCCCGGACTGTTTCGACGTGGCACACTACAACTGCACGCTGCTCTTGGACCACGACTCCTCAGCGGCTTCGGCGATTGACACGCGATCTCGGATTCTGTCCGGTGCACACGCTCCAGACCACAGTGTGTCTACATAGCCTCCAGACGTAGTGAATCGTGCTGGTTTCGCGACGGGTGTGCCTGTGTACCTGGGCGTGTGCGTGTGTGTTGGTGTGCGTGTGTGTGTGTGTGTGACTGTGTCTGTGTGTGTGTGCATGTGTGTGCGTATGTGTCTGCGTCTGTGCGTGGGTGTGTGTGTGCGTGACTGCGTGTGTGCGCTGTGCGTGACGGATATATGAGAGCACTGATTCAGCCGTTGCCACATGAAGCCTAAAACACCCAGCGCCCAACACCGTTTTGCGCGCCCGCCCACGTGTGTCTGTGCTGGGGCTACGGGGAGTTCATCCGCTCCGTAGCCGGAAGATCGGCACACGGAAACTTCGACATTTGGTCGAGCATCAACCCGTTCTAGCAGCTGTACACGCGGTTAGGTTAAACATGCCTTCAGAGGCTGGCAGGCAGGCAATGTCGCCTGTCGATGGATCCTACGAAACGCCAATCACGATCGTACTGAACTCGTGAGAGGGCCACGTAGAGAGCTGCGCGCACGAAAGGCACGTCCATCCACAGGGTGACGTGCTTCAGCGTGGCACCCTGAATCTTATGCAGCGTGGTGCTGTAGCCCAGCCTCAGTGGAAAGGCCGTCGTTCTGATGTTGGAGCCATCCCAGAGCTGGCATTCGTGAGCGATGGGGTGAATCAAGAGCACCTTCCCTGCGTCCGTCTTCACCTGCACGCCGCTTCGCCTCATGCGCTGCACCGTTGCTCCCATTCCGTTGACGAAGCCATTCTCCTTGTCCGTGTTCCTGGTGATGACGACACGCATGCCCTCATGAATCGGAAGCCAGAAGGGTTCTGCCGCCACCTGCGCCGTGCCTCTAAAATTCTCGAAGTTTTCCTGTGGATCACAGGGTATGCGATCGAGAATCTCCGCATCCGCGAAGAGGGCACGCATGGCGAGCTGATTGAGTCGGGCGGATCCTCGACGGGTGATCGTGACGAAGGTCGTCTGGGGGGTCTCTTGCAGGATGGCGGCGATGTCCTCCGGACAGAGATCATTGCGGACGCCGGATCGACTTCGAAGATTTGCACGATGACCTCTCAAGATCTTCTTCAACTGTGTTCCGCTGGGCTGCGTACTTCGCAGCAGCTGCAGCTTCCACTTGAGTTTCTCGCACTTGCAGCGACGCATCTCGTGCAGGTACAGGATGTGCATGTCTTGCCACCTGATGCTATCTCTCGCCGTCGTGCCGTCGGGTCCCAAGAGCTGACAGAAATCGCCCACGAACACGAGGGCAGTCCGGCGGTCGGCCGCATCCCAGAGTCGCAGTAGCCTTTCGAAGATCCACTCCGGCAGCTGGCCGACTTCGTCGATCACGAGCATGTCGTAGATCTTCATCATGTCGGCCGTCGCGAGCTCCTCTTTGTGCAACGCGAACATGCCATGCACTGTATCAATATCCAGATCCGGATGCCGTGCTCTGTACCGGGTTGCCAGCATGCCTGTCGGACACGCAACCCCGACGTGGGCACCTGCTTGGACAGCTCGGTCCAATGCGATTTCCACTGCCGTGCTTTTTCCACTGCCGGCCGGACCCAATATGACCGTTGCCCTATTGGCGGCGACGTCCTGCTCCAACCAAGCGGCCCAGCCCTCGACTTCCCGATCCTCCGGCCACCTGGTCACCACTGCGTGTTGTACTCGACGACCGATGACGTTTATCACCGCCGCTTGCTCTGGTGCTACTCGAACTTCTGCATGGGCCACCCGTGCGACGCCATCCAGCGGAGGGGCCGCCTCTCCTTCTACGGTCATGTCTCCGGAAAGGTAGGCGTCGATGAGCTCGATCCTGGCGGTCAGCATGGCGAGTGTGTTCTGGATGTACAAGTCGTTTCGTGCCTCCTTCTCCAGTTCTGCGCGGATCCTGATCTGATTTCGCCAGAAACGGCGGCGATGTAAGACGCACAGTCCCAAGTATCGCAGATTCTCTGGCAGAAGGTTTGCTTGCGGGTGCCAGAGGTCGTCGATGTCGCGGAAGGGCACGTTGAGCAGCAGCCACTGGCCGTAATGACGATCGTTCGTGTGAGCGTACATTACGCTGGCGACAAGTGTCTGGCCGTCTGGCGGGTGCACATTGATCCAGTCCTTGAGAGGCATGCCAATTTTGCGGACACTATGCATGCGGCGATACTTCTGCGAAATCTGACCGCTCGCTCCCGATTTCCGAAGAAAGTCCAGAAGGCTCATGTTGTCGCGTCTCCACGTGCTAGCCATGTAGCTCTGCACGATCTGCGGCAGTTCTTTCTGCCACGGAACCGGCACGACGAACTTGCGGACATTTGCCGGACAGACAAACTGAGGATGTTGCTGTGCCGCCAACTGCAGGATCATCTCCGGCTGGAGCGGATGGTAGTCCGCCAGAACTCGCCGGGCCAGCGAGAAGTCGGTCGCCTCGCTGTTGAGAAGCTCCGCCGCGAAGGAGCTGCTGAACTTCGGCAAGTAGCCTGCGCTTGCGAGGCAGGCGATGTGTTGAAGGGCTTGCTCGGAATGGTTCTAGATATCCTCTAGGATTAGACTAGTTTTGCCGGACGAGATGCTCGCGCAATACTTCAGCACCATGGCTCGTCCGTCGGATGCCAGCACATCCACGTGGCAGCGAAGGGCGGCCAACACGTCCGGAAGATAGGCGCGGCACTTGCTTTCGAAAGCTTCGCGTGGGTGGTGTAGTCGGAGTCGCTGTTCTTCCTGGATCACGTCCGTGGGTTCTGCGCGCAGAGGCCATCCACTTGAAGTGTAGTCCAATTGCGAGCCCACCACCAGATCTCGCATTTCCGGTTCGTCTGTGCGTGTGCGTGTGTGTTTGTGTGCGTGTGTGTGTGTGTGTGTGTGACTGTGTCTGTGTGTGTGTGCATGTGTGTGAGTATGTGTCTGCGTCTGTGCGTGGGTGTGTGTGTGCGTGACTGCGTGTGTGCGCTGTGCGTGACGGATATATGAGAGCACTGATTCAGCCGTTGCCACATGAAGCCTAAAACACCCAGCGCCCAACACCGTTTTGCGCGCCCGCCCACGTGTGTCTGTGCTGGGGCTACGGGGAGTTCATCCGCTCCGTAGCCGGAAGATCGGCACACGGAAACTTCGACATTTGGTCGAGCATCAACCCGTTCTAGCAGCTGTACACGCGGTTAGGTTAAACATGCCTTCAGAGGCTGGCAGGCAGGCAATGTCGCCTGTCGATGGATCCTACGAAACGCCAATCACGATCGTACTGAACTCGTGAGAGGGCCACGTAGAGAGCTGCGCGCACGAAAGGCACGTCCATCCACAGGGTGACGTGCTTCAGCGTGGCACCCTGAATCTTATGCAGCGTGGTGCTGTAGCCCAGCCTCAGTGGAAAGGCCGTCGTTCTGATGTTGGAGCCATCCCAGAGCTGGCATTCGTGAGCGATGGGGTGAATCAAGAGCACCTTCCCTGCGTCCGTCTTCACCTGCACGCCGCTTCGCCTCATGCGCTGCACCGTTGCTCCCATTCCGTTGACGAAGCCATTCTCCTTGTCCGTGTTCCTGGTGATGACGACACGCATGCCCTCATGAATCGGAAGCCAGAAGGGTTCTGCCGCCACCTGCGCCGTGCCTCTAAAATTCTCGAAGTTTTCCTGTGGATCACAGGGTATGCGATCGAGAATCTCCGCATCCGCGAAGAGGGCACGCATGGCGAGCTGATTGAGTCGGGCGGATCCTCGACGGGTGATCGTGACGAAGGTCGTCTGGGGGGTCTCTTGCAGGATGGCGGCGATGTCCTCCGGACAGAGATCATTGCGGACGCCGGATCGACTTCGAAGATTTGCACGATGACCTCTCAAGATCTTCTTCAACTGTGTTCCGCTGGGCTGCGTACTTCGCAGCAGCTGCAGCTTCCACTTGAGTTTCTCGCACTTGCAGCGACGCATCTCGTGCAGGTACAGGATGTGCATGTCTTGCCACCTGATGCTATCTCTCGCCGTCGTGCCGTCGGGTCCCAAGAGCTGACAGAAATCGCCCACGAACACGAGGGCAGTCCGGCGGTCGGCCGCATCCCAGAGTCGCAGTAGCCTTTCGAAGATCCACTCCGGCAGCTGGCCGACTTCGTCGATCACGAGCATGTCGTAGATCTTCATCATGTCGGCCGTCGCGAGCTCCTCTTTGTGCAACGCGAACATGCCATGCACTGTATCAATATCCAGATCCGGATGCCGTGCTCTGTACCGGGTTGCCAGCATGCCTGTCGGACACGCAACCCCGACGTGGGCACCTGCTTGGACAGCTCGGTCCAATGCGATTTCCACTGCCGTGCTTTTTCCACTGCCGGCCGGACCCAATATGACCGTTGCCCTATTGGCGGCGACGTCCTGCTCCAACCAAGCGGCCCAGCCCTCGACTTCCCGATCCTCCGGCCACCTGGTCACCACTGCGTGTTGTACTCGACGACCGATGACGTTTATCACCGCCGCTTGCTCTGGTGCTACTCGAACTTCTGCATGGGCCACCCGTGCGACGCCATCCAGCGGAGGGGCCGCCTCTCCTTCTACGGTCATGTCTCCGGAAAGGTAGGCGTCGATGAGCTCGATCCTGGCGGTCAGCATGGCGAGTGTGTTCTGGATGTACAAGTCGTTTCGTGCCTCCTTCTCCAGTTCTGCGCGGATCCTGATCTGATTTCGCCAGAAACGGCGGCGATGTAAGACGCACAGTCCCAAGTATCGCAGATTCTCTGGCAGAAGGTTTGCTTGCGGGTGCCAGAGGTCGTCGATGTCGCGGAAGGGCACGTTGAGCAGCAGCCACTGGCCGTAATGACGATCGTTCGTGTGAGCGTACATTACGCTGGCGACAAGTGTCTGGCCGTCTGGCGGGTGCACATTGATCCAGTCCTTGAGAGGCATGCCAATTTTGCGGACACTATGCATGCGGCGATACTTCTGCGAAATCTGACCGCTCGCTCCCGATTTCCGAAGAAAGTCCAGAAGGCTCATGTTGTCGCGTCTCCACGTGCTAGCCATGTAGCTCTGCACGATCTGCGGCAGTTCTTTCTGCCACGGAACCGGCACGACGAACTTGCGGACATTTGCCGGACAGACAAACTGAGGATGTTGCTGTGCCGCCAACTGCAGGATCATCTCCGGCTGGAGCGGATGGTAGTCCGCCAGAACTCGCCGGGCCAGCGAGAAGTCGGTCGCCTCGCTGTTGAGAAGCTCCGCCGCGAAGGAGCTGCTGAACTTCGGCAAGTAGCCTGCGCTTGCGAGGCAGGCGATGTGTTGAAGGGCTTGCTCGGAATGGTTCTAGATATCCTCTAGGATTAGACTAGTTTTGCCGGACGAGATGCTCGCGCAATACTTCAGCACCATGGCTCGTCCGTCGGATGCCAGCACATCCACGTGGCAGCGAAGGGCGGCCAACACGTCCGGAAGATAGGCGCGGCACTTGCTTTCGAAAGCTTCGCGTGGGTGGTGTAGTCGGAGTCGCTGTTCTTCCTGGATCACGTCCGTGGGTTCTGCGCGCAGAGGCCATCCACTTGAAGTGTAGTCCAATTGCGAGCCCACCACCAGATCTCGCATTTCCGGTTCGTCTTCGCCGGGCACGTCTGCCTGGATTTTGGAGGCGAGGTCCATGGCTTGCATATCCTGCAGCCAAAGCAGAATGTGCACGTGGACAGCACCCCGTCCGTGGTAGAACTGCCCATTTCGGTGGACATGGCGCTTGCGTTTCCCATCTTGAAATTCCAACCGGGCCACCCAGTGACGAACCTTGCCTGGCCCTTCTGCCGAGCAGAAGACGTGCTCTCTTTTCCCCTCCAGCCCTTCGTTGGCCCCGGTCAGGAGACCCTTGACCGCCTGCGTGAGCACGTGGGCCAGATGCAGGGTCTCTGCCACGGGCATCTCGAGTCTGGCACGGAGAGTTTTCGCGAGTTCGTCTTGCAGCCACTCATGGTATGGGAAAGACCACTCATAAGGAGCAATCGTGATAAAGAGGCTTGGCCACCCCACCTGTCTCTGCAGGTCGATCAAGGCAGTGTGGTACGTACGCCACATCTCCGGCGAGTACGGCTTGTTCGCTAAAGCTTCACGCACGCTGCTGGTGCCGGCACTGTTCTTGGCACCGCCGATGGTGGTGAAAAGCCACAGATCGTAGACGAAGTGGAGGAGCTGCGAGTCCGTGTTGTAACCGATTACCGCGGAGTGAGCTTTGGCCAGGTAGCTCGCTTTAGCACTCTGTCGTGAAGAACGTCCAGGCGCAGCTTCGATTTCATCCTCGTCGCCCTCACTATCCTCGATGCAATCTCTCCGCCGGCGCTGCTGTCTCCGAGCATCCTGCGATCTCACGTACGTCTCCGTCATCTCCACGCACCAATATAATTGTGGCCAGAGAGCGCACTCTATCCCGACCGTCTCGATGAAGTTTGCAGGCAAGCGCCGTGCCGGCGTCCCGGACCAGATCTCTGCGCGCTCGACAGCTCTAGCTCTCTTGCGAAGGCTGTGCTGGTGAAGCTGCCAAAATCGCCGGTAATACGAGGGGCAATCTTGTCGCAGCAGATATTCCAGCGCTTTCTGGCCACGCTTGCGTTCTTTCTTAGGAAGCTTGTCGATGTTATCTTCCACAGAGGAGGTTTTGAATGAGAACCGCATCATGTCGTTGTGCACCAAGTAGCCGTGGGGCACCCGAAAGGTTCCGCCTGTGTGGAGGTCAAAAGGTCGTAGAGCTTCGATCACGCGAGACGACAACTTGCGCAGCCGCCTTGGGATGTCAGAAGGATTCGGCGCCCAATAGCCGGTGGATCCACCGGATTTGCAGTGCCCGCAAGCAGGAAGCTCTGGAGATGCAGCAGCCCTGCCCTTGGCATGTTTGGCACGAAAGGCTTGCGGCACCATGCGGCCGCAGCAGCTGCACATGCGCCAGGAGTCCTCGAGGCACCACTTCCTGAATGCCGCGGCGCGCGGGGGCATCCAATGCGTCTCCTCTCGAGTTGCTGCACCATAGACCGCTGGAAATTTGGTTTGCAGGCGGGTCTGCTGCCGACGCTGGTGGGCCTCGAAGGCGTGTCGCTCTGCGTCGGAAGCGCACAATGCAGGCTGACGGAATTCCAGCGAGCTTTTCCAGGAAGCTTTAAGCTTGGGTTCCCGAGTGCAGGACGTCGCACCAAACCGCTCGGCCACCTCGGCACCACACATGTCTCGAATGCGTTGCAGCGCCTGCTGGTGGCGACCTTCGTCGAGCTTGGCCATCCGACCCAACCATGTCCTGATCTGCCGTCCGCCTCGATCACCCAGTGCCGATTTGAAGGCGTCTGCGGAACAAAAGATACAATGCTCGAAGACGACGCCATCCTTGACGCGGGTGTAGGGTTTCCCACGAATGCTTTGCTTGGTGAATCCGAAACGGCAGCAGGGATTGTCGCATTCCGTGCGGGGAGGCCGAAGATCTGTCCATGCGCCTCTTGGTGCAATGCCGCAGGGCACGGGGTCTTCGTAGGCCCGCACCTCGGCCAGAACCCAAGCGTAGATGTTGGCCTGGGTCAGGATGGACAGATCTTCGACGGCGTGAAGATGCGCGTTGGCCTCGAGTTCTTCTGGGGTGAGTTTCCTGCTCTCGGAGATGGTCATTTCCCCTACCAGCATGCCTGACCCGGCTTCGAGGATGCACACTCTTTCATGCAGATGCTTTCTGCAGTTCTGTCCTCTTATCTCCCACACTTTGCTACCAGTCAAGATCTTCTCACACCAGTGCGACTTGATAGTGAGTGCCCAGCGCGGGGACGGAGCCGTCTTGGCGAGTCCACTTTCTGCAGAACCCATGGCCGTCCGGTCCGCGGGTGGTTCGTTGTCGCTCTGCTTGTCAGCGTACTCCTTCAGTAGCTGGAGCTGATGTGCCAGCTCGTCAGTGCCAAGAATCTCTTCGATCTCCTGCACACGTTCCTGGAACACATCCGGTCGATGGCGCGAATCTTGATACAAACGGGCAGTGATCTCCAGCTGGCCCGGCTCCGGCGAGCACCTCGATGGTCCAACACCAAGAGGGCCGGAACGGTATGCTTTGGCCGCAGTCCGAGGTCACGGCGCACTGGCGCGGATGTCTTCCACGCCCCTGTCGTCGTGACAGGACGACAGTGCTGAACTAACCTAAGAGCGCTGTGGCTGCTGAGTGGCGCACCATGCGGACCCCTCGGAGCCAGTCTCCTCCTGGTGCAAACGCAGAGAATCGGGTTGCAGACCTTCGACACACCGGCGCTTCAGTCCTCGAGTGCATCTGACATGTGAACGTCGCTCCTGACAAGGTGGCACGTTGCGGGTCGAAGCATGCTGTGGACAATCCGCAGCCACCACGCCCGAGGCCGAGGCATACCGTCCGTCGACTGTTTGGACGAGATGCAACCCGATATTGCGAATTGTACTTTCCTGAAGCGGTTTGAGCCTCTTGGGCGGCAACACGAAAGCATGCTCTCCGAATCAAGCTTATGTGAGACAGTTCGTGGGGGATGCTCCGAGATCTCGCTCCGCCGATTGATGCACGTCTCCGGCACCTTTTCTCTTGAAAGACACTCACGCTGCTGCAACGATGCACATATATTTGCACATTAGGCGAAACTCAGTCGTCGCCAGGGGCCTCACTCACTCCTGCTGTTGCGTCTTCGTGCCCTTCTTTTGGTTCTTTTTCTTTTTCTTCTCCGACCTCTTCCTCTTGGCTGTGGATTCTTGCTGCATGGTCCGTGTCTCGCAGTTGGAGGACGCTGCCTTGCACTTCTTGCCGCGCTCCTTCGTAGCAGCTCTCGGGCGTCCTCGGGACGCTCCTGGTTTTTTAGAATCGCTGCGCTCCGAACCACCACGAGACAGAAGATCCACCCACGCGATGCTGCCTCGCTTCCTGGCGTAGGGCACGGGGCGTTCGTAGGCTTTCACATCCTCGAGGACCCAGGCGTGGGTGGTGGTGTAGGTCAGGATGGAGAGATCCTCGATTGCGTGTCGGCGCGCATTGGCTTGGAGTTCTCTTCGGGAGAGCTTCATGCTCTTGGCGATGGTCATTTCACCTACCAGCAAGCCCGATCCCGATTTTGCGATGCAAACTCTGTCGCATAAGTGCTTGCGGCAGGCTTGCCCTCGTATCTCCCAAACTTTGCTACCGTTCAATATCTTCTCGCACCAGTGCGGCTTGATGGTAAGCGCCCAGCGCGGGGATGGGGCCATCTTGGTGAGTCCGCTGTCTGCAGAACCCGTGGCAGTCGAGTCGGAAGGTAGCTCGGTGTCGCTCTGCTTGTCAGCGCACTCCTTCAGTAGCTGGAGCTGATGTGCCAGCTCGTCAGTGCCAAGAATCTCTTCGATCTCCTGCACACGTTCCTGGAATACATCCGGTCGATGGCGCGAATCTTGATACAAACGGGCAGTGATCTCCAGCTGGCCCGGTTCCAGCGAACACCTCGATGGTCCAACACCAAGAGGGCCGGAACAGTATGCTTTGGCCGAAGTCCGAGGTCACGGCGCACTGGCGCGGAGGTCTTCCACGGCCGGCGAGCACCTCGATGGTAGAAGAGTAGCAGGGCTGGAGCAGTGTGCTCTGACCGCAGTCCGAGGTCCTGGCGCACCGGTGTGGATGTCTTCAACGCCCCTGTCGTCGTAACGGGTTGACAGTGCTAGACTGACGCAGAGCAGCGCTTGCTGAGCGGCCCACCATGCGGACCCGTCGGAGCTAGTGTCCTCCTTGGGCTTTTCTGTGAGGAAAAGGTTCCTGATCCTTCGACTCGGCCCTGCGGTCCTCGAGCGCGTCCGGCGTGTCACTGTCACTCCTGACAAGAACCGGGCCAGTTTTGTCCGGTGCACGGCTCGCCCCATGCCGGCGTTCCCGTCCCCCGTCGCCATCTCTGAGGCCCAGGCATAGTGCTCTTCCCTCCCAGGACTACGAATTGACCACTCGAAAAAGCTCGAGCCTGACTGCACGGACGGGCCGAGTTGAGGCTTCGAAAAGAAAAGAAGTTCATGTCAGATGTCTTGGTCGAAGAGCACGGCGAATTTGGCTGCACCGGGTGGATGAACGAGTCTATGCAACTCATAGCGGGAGCTGTGCTCGCGCCGCTACAGTCAAGGTGACGAGACCGCCGCCACGGCGAACCTCAGCCCTTCTTGTGTGTCTTCGCTGCCCCTTGTTTCTCCTTGCTTGCGGGCTGATCCGGTGCGCTGGATGTCCCGCCGCTGGAGGACGACTTCGCGCACTTGTTTTTCTTCTTGTTGCTGCTGCGGCACCGTCCGTGTGCCTCCGGGATGCCCCAAGCTCTTCGCGCTGGCTTCTTTCTTGGTTTGTACTGTCCGCGAGCAGAGCGACGAGGCCGTTTCGGATTCGCCCGATGCTCGCGTAGGGCCACCCTTTCCTCGTACTTCTTTCGCAGAGTTTTCCCACCGTGGATCTCGATGACCTGCAACGCCTCTGCGCGATCCCGTGCTTGGAGTTGGCGGAGGTAGTGCGTCACCACGCTACCGCGACGGACTTGGAGCAGCTCCTCGAACCTGACGGCGCTACAGAATACGCAGCGGCTGTCCGAGCTGGTCGCCGCCCCAGGTCGTCCGCTTCCGTCCAGGGCCAGGGTACAAACGCTGCCTCGCAATCCCTGGCAGACGTGCTCGTCTGCGGCGGTAGGAGGATTCCACAGATGCCTACCACGGCGGCCGCCGCGACCGCCGCGGCCCCGAGGCCCCTTGGCACGGCCGGCGGCTGCGCTATATCGCCTCGGCCGGAAGTGCTGCTCGGGGTGGATACCGACGAAGTTGGGGATGTCGAGGCAGGATTCCTGGGCAAGACTTTTTTCAGTCGGCATTAGCCCGACGATCGGCTCTACAGTAGACTTGTATAGGACCTCTGTTCATGACGTCCAAGGCTTACAGGCCAAGGTTGCGACTCTGCGGTTGGGTCCGGCTGGGTGAGTGCCACGCTCCTGTACAACAGCGAATGCCTTTTCGACCGTGAATCAGGCGACTGTGAGGCCGGCCTCGAACCATCCGGGCCCTCCTTCGCTTGTGTCTGCTTTGGAGGCCTGCCCCGGTTCTTCCGTCGATCACGACACGGATTAGTCTGGTCTGTGGCACGCGGGCGTCCGGCCTGTCTGCTCCGCCTTCTTCTTCTTCAGGCGCGGCACAGCAGCTCCTGAGGCATGCAATGTGCACACCCGGACTCAACACAGATCCTTTTGCGCGAGACACATGTATCACTGTCGGGCCTCGGCACCGTTGACAGCAGGACTGCAGTGAACGCGAAGACCTTCGTCGGCAGGATCATAGCCACGCCTCGGTGTTGCAGATGGCTGGTTATAGTCGTCCGTCCTTCGCGCACTCAGGCGGAGGCCCGGCCCTGCCCGGCCGTGCGACAGTGCAGCAGCGATGACCGTGAGCCAAACCGTCTGCAGGAGACAAATCATCGGTCATGGGTACTGTCTCGGCCAGACGGCGACGGCTTTACGGCACCGACCACAGCTCTCGGGCTCGCCCTTCGCTAAACCGGCCTTTGTTCGCTCGGAACTCGGCACGGTGCGAGTCTTGCTGCGGGGGCCAAGCCCGCACCGCAGAGTGAATCGCTGCGGGGTAAAATCTACTCGAAGTAGACAAACTTAACACGTAGCCTAGTTGCTTGGACAGAACGATGCGTTGGCAAGAATCAAACAGGATTGGCACCGTCTGGATCCGGGAGCTTATGCGAGATGCATCTGTGCACTGCCCCTCACGTGTCCCGCTCCTCCGGCTGCTCTACCGACCCTGCCGCGACCTGTGCGCAACGAGCACATGCAACGCTTGGCTTAGCATGCCCCACGTGTAGTAGGCGCGGATCGGGGTAGTATCTTCCTAAGTAAGACCCTCTGCGACCTACGATTGTCATTACATTCGGCCCTGACCTCCGCTGTGTGCGCATCCACGACCTCGACCGCCTCCTCGTTCGTGGTCTTCTCCTTCGCAGCTTTGGTCGCCTTCTTCAGCTTCCGCTTTTCGGCCTTCTTCGCGGCCTCGTTGCGATGCTTCGTGCTCGAGGAGACCGAGGACGATGCGCTGTCCGACTTGCGCTTCTTGGACTTGCCAGCATCCACGACCTCGACCGCCTCCTCGTTGGCCGTCTTCTCCTTCGCAGCCTTGGCCGCCTTCTTGAGCTTCCGCTTCTCGGCCTTTTTTGCGGCGTCGTGGCGACGCTTTGTGCTCGAGGAGGGCGAGGACGACGCGCTGTCCGACTTGCGCTTCTTGGACTTGTGGGCTGGCTTGAGGCCCCACGCCGGCTCGTCTGCTGCCGCTCCGAAGGGCTCGTCGTCGCTGTCTCCGCCCCAGCCTCCGTAGGCTCGCTTCCAAGCCGACTCGTCTGCGTGGCGCTGGCCGAAGGCCTCCACGAGGTAGTGGACGAGCCTATCCACGTCCTTGGGAAGCGACTGCCATTCGGAGAGCGACGCTGCGTTGGCTACGGTCGTCGGGACTTTGGTGCTCCAGTTGCTGAGGGCGTTTGCCATGGTGCACGCTTCCAGCGCCTGGATGCCGCCGAGGTAAAGCAAGCTCGCTCTGCTCAGCATCTGCGGTAGCGCCTTCTGCAGGGCTTGCTTGTTCCTGCGAAAGAAAGCGATCCAAGTCTCGATCGCCTTCCGGCGCTTGTCCGCCGAGTTGTTGCTGCTGCGATCTTTGGAGAGCGTCTCGCATGCCTTCTTCAGATTCGCACCGTCTTCTCCAGAGAACAGCTGCCGCATCTTTTCCAGTGCCGCCTGGAACTTTCTGTCGTCGTCGGTCTCGTCTTCTCCGAAGCAACTCGACAGCGCCAACATGGAGCTGCTGACGACCGACACACCGATGGCAGGCCTCCGAGCGAGTTCCGAATTCTTGGAATCTATGAGCTGCCGCATATTCTCCTTCTCGAAGAAATCCACGGAAGAGCCTGCGGCGTACACCGCTTGACCTCGCTCGTCTGCGTACGGACGGAGGATCGTTTTCGCGAGGGCGTATTTGCCTTCCAGCCGCGGGATCCATTCCTTTCCCTTGCCTTTGGGCTGCTCCTTGCCCTTAGCCCAGGCGGAGTCGTCCCAGGCTCCGCCTACGTAGCCGTCAGATCCCGAGGCTCCGGTTGAGGTCCACCAGTCGGCTGCACCGGCCGGATTGTTCCAATCTCCTTTGCTGGGCTGACTCCACGATGTCGCGCTCCACGAATCTTGCACGTACTCCGTGTTCTTCCCAGCAGTCTTCTTCCCCTTGCCGCTCTTGCTGCCTTTGGTCCAGGACGATGACTTTCCCCACATGGCTGGTAACTTCGAGCTAAGCTTGTCACGCGTTGCTTATATTGGTCTTGAGACTCTCATGCGACTCCGGACACCGAGCTCGGATGTGCGAACCTCCGCATTTGGTGCATCCCTCCCTCGCTTCGGCGAGGACTCTCGGACCCCGCAATCCTTTTTGCGGCTCCCCGGCACACACATGCAAGGTGCTTCAGCCAGTCTACGGGGACCAAGCCCGCGCCGTAAACTGTCTGGAAAACAAAACTGGCGTGACTCGTGCAGCCAAACCTGGGAAAGGGTTTTGTTGCCACTGGCGCTTCCGCAGGCTTTGGTGGCGACTCTATACATGCTACATGATAGAGCCTGCACCCTACATGGTGAATCATCTCCGAAGTTTCTGTCCTCTGCTCACGTGAGACGACTACAGCCTATACAGCGTAGTCCTACGCTTCCTCCACGTCAAGGCTCTTCTTCGGAGCTGTCTTCGGAATCCGTCCTCAAGCTTCTGTCGGAGCCGCCCACGTCCGCGTGTCGTCGTTTGCGCGGGTTCCTTGTCTGCCTCTGCCGCAGCCAGCTGCCTGCGAGGCGGAAGTGCGGCGAGGAGCCACCTGCGTCGTCCTGCACGGAGCCCAACAATAGCCTGCACGCCACCGGGCCGTCGCCGAAGAGCAAGTCCCACTCGCTCGAGGCTCCCTCCATGCTAACGAGGAGCGTTCCGCCGAGCCACTGAGCCACGTAGGTAAGCACCGCGCCTTCGGGCAGGTTGGAGCTGGCCAGCTGCTCCACCACGTCCAGGCGCTCGTCCTCGAGCGCCATGGCGCCCGTCACTTCCCGCAGGCGCCGGCACGCCGTCACCAGCTCGCGGTCCTCCCGACTGGACCGCAAGAAGCCGTCGTTGTCCTGGCACAGGCTCCGCAAACGATTCACATCGCGAGCAGCGACTGCGCAGGCGAACAGGCAGTGCCCGTCGGGCGGCACGTCCAAGACCTCGCCCTCCTCCATCACGGGCGAACCGGCATATCCGCGTCGGCACAGCTCCGCTGCCGTCGCCGGGACGCCGGCGTTGCTTGGATCTGCGAACCTGCAGGAGAGCAGAGGTGCGGGCTGCACGGCCGCTCGGTGTAAGGCCCCGACGATCCCGCGCTGCGGACATCTGGGCCGGCTGACCTCTTTTGGTCAAGCAAGAAACCACGTAGCGATGCACCTCTGTTTTCGACCGAGACTCTTGCAAGCTAGACTGCGAAGAAGCCGCATTGGTGGAGCAGGACGAGACTTCCCCTTGCGGGACGTTGTTCCTCACACACGCACGCACGTCTTGCGCAACACGGGTGGCTCTTCCTCCGAGGCACCGACTCCAGGAAAGCGATCCTAGCTTCCAGGGCAGGGTCGGCGTGGCCTTCTCGGCTGGCCGTATTTCTGAGTGCCTGTGCGACGGGCAATATACACGTCCTCGACCGGATTGCACATGTGTGTCTTTCGAGGGCCTCCAAGACGTTGAGGTGCTCCGTGCGAGTCAGGACTGCGTCGCCCAACCTGTCAGTCGCGCGTTTAAGTGTCCCTCTGCGCGTGTGTGTGTGTGTGTGTGTGTGTGTGTGTGTGTGTGTGTGTGTGTGTGTGTGTGTGTGTGTGTGTGTGTGTGTGTGTGTGTGTGTGTGTGTCCGTGTGTATAGGTATGTGTGTGTGTGTCTTTACATAGCAGGCCCTGCTCACACAACAACTGTTGATTTCGGAGCTGAGGTGGCAGCGAACAGAGACACAAGACCAAGGCAAGCATCGTGTCAAATGACGACAGAGGGGCGGCGTCTGCTTCCAAGGGTCGAGCTCGAAATGGCTATGGACTGTAGGGTCGACAAAAGTCGTGGTTCCTTGCACCTGGCTTGCAAGTCGAGATGCACGCATGGACGTGTCGCCCGCAGTGCGCAGGGATTTTGGCGCGAGGCTTGGGGTTACGATGCCGCAGACGGTCACAGCACTCGAAAGATACACGGGGACAGTGTCCGCGCCGTGTCTAGCTGCATCGTCATCATACGAACAGGGCGCACTCAGATCCGGTGCACGGCTCGTTGCGACCGGGGCCGGCTGAGAGTCAACACCTGTGCATCTCGACTGGAACTTGCGCTCTGCACTTTACCTTGCGGGACCTCTGTGGGCAACAGGTAGGAGACTCGGATGCGTAGCATCTGATACCTGGCCTGACAGGCCAGTGCAGTTCGCTCCGCACTCTGCATCCGTCGCAACATCCGGCATCTGGTTTTATCTGACACAGAGACCGGGCCGGAAAGAGGTACACGCCGGAAGGGAAGTAGTGCACAGAAGCCGTCTCCTGTCGGTTCGGTCATGTCTGCTGCAACGCGGGCACCCTGCGGCGCCGCGTCCTGTCCGCCGAGAACCAGGAAGTATCCGGCTGCGAGCGGCACCAGCTTCGGCAACGCACGCCCCTGCCCGGAGCTCGTGCGCAGGACTCTCTTCCGCATCCTCGGGGCCCCGGCACGCAGACCAGGATGCAAGCCGCCGACTCCGCTTGCCTGCCGTACAGCGGCAGAAGACTAAGTGTCGGCAGCAGCGGGAGCGGGCCGCCGACGCGATCGTGCGGTGCAAACCGACCTCGTCATCCGTCTCTGGAAACAGCCGAAACCGGGTCGCCGCCTGCGATTCGGTTTCCGCCGCTGTTACTTCTGCGTGGCCGCTCCATTCTAGACAGCTGACATATGTTCCAGAGGCGCCTTGCCTCTCTGCGTCTCCGCGCGTTATGCCTGTCGTGGGGTCCGTGTCGGCGGCGTGCAGCCTGAAAGCCGACGAAGCAATGCCACGGTCGGGTCTCTGAAAGAAAGCAAGTTGGCGCTGAGCGATGCGTTCCCCGCCTGGGCCGGTGCGGCCGCGACGTTCATTGTGGACCCTGCAGACCAGTCGGATGCAAACGCGGGGCTGTGCTGTTACAGAGCGATGATGTGTCGAACGATGTGTGACAGAATATTGAGCGCGCCGCGGGAGCGTTGGCTCGGATGGAGGGGGAACGAGCGGTGCTAAAGTCTTGATCTCAACAGGCTTCGGGCCTATAGTAGTGGGACATGAGTGCAACAATCCAAACCATTCGGTTGCAGCAACTACATCTCTGAGAGCAGAAACTAGATATACGTGTGCGCGACACAGCCATTCTTTGTGTTCGACCCGCTCGCGCAGCGCTTGCAGCGAGGGAGGTCTACTCCGGCGGCTCGCTGGTGCCGGATGCCTGATCATGAGCAGTCGATTTCAGTCCCCGCTGCTTGCAGGTTGACTCTGTGCTCTGTATGTGCTACAGCAGCTGCTCACGTAGTGCTCAGGTTCCTGCTGTCGCCCCACCGAGCGTGGCAGCCCAGGCCTTGTGTGTTCAAGCTGCACATGTAAGCCACGTGTACTCGACGACGCTTGACTGGGTCGCGTGCCACCAGATCTGGGCGGTGAGGGGGAGGACTCAATGTCCATTCCCCGCCCATCTTCTTTGCCCAGTTCTGGTCGGCCCCGGTGACGCGCACTTCCTGGGACGTCCCGATATTGGCGACTGCATGCACCGAGCGTTGCAGGAGCTGGGCCGCGCACCACGTGTGTCACGAAGCCGTCCCGCGGCACCACCGCGAGCAGACGCTCCTTGGCCCAGGTGGTGAACTTCCGGGCCTGGCACGCAACGTCGCGACGAGATTATAGAAACACCCTAACGCAGCAATACACAGCGACCGCTGGACGGCCTTCCGGAGCTGCTTCGCGGTCGCCGGGCGCCGCGCGCCCGTAATGCTTAGGTCCGCGTCCTGGTGAGCTTCCGAGGTGAGCAATCCGCTCAAAACCATCTTGCCGCAGCGGCGGCCTCGGCCAGTGTGAAAGTGGCGTGCTCGGCAGGATCGATGGCAGCGAGGACGCGGACTTGGCCCGGCTTGGCCTCGCTGGCCCGGCTGAGTGTGACGCGCCGCACAGAGCCCGCCTATAACCTAACGGGCCTTGGCGAAAGCAAACCACAGGGCCACCAGGAAGTCGCTCGTGAAAGATAACCACGGCGACTCCTGCAGTTCGTGAGTCAGGCACAACACACGACACCGGTCCTCCTATAGCCGGTCCGCTTCGCCCGACGAGCCCGCCTTGGGGTTGGTGGCGATATGTTCTGCCACCGTGATGTCTGCGTCGCCTCGATACGACTCCGTCGGCCTACATTTCGAAGACTGTGGCGTCAGGTCCACAACATCGGCCTTTCGCCACGCGACAGTGCTCGAGGCAGTCGGCGCCGCGCCAGAGGAGGCCTGGCACTGCCAACTTTTGACAAGCGAGCGTTTACGCACATGGGGGCATTGCATGCGCTTGCGGCGTCGCTTAGCTGCGGACCCAGAGCCAGCTCCTCTGATTCGCGGCGCTCGACCGCCTCGAGCCTGCGCTCCACCGCGTCTCCGCGCAGCATGCTGAAGAACTCCTGTCGGCGCTGCCGTGATGAAATTCGAGACTTGTGAGAAAAAGAGTCAGGCTGTGAAGGTCTAAGCTCGCGGCCTTCATGGCCGCGCTATGAGCCAGGGCACCGTACTTCCGCTCCAACTTGGCCCGAGCGCTCAGTCCGATGCATCCCCGTCTGCTTGGTGACAGTGTGTCTGTGTGACGAACTTCGATCGGTTCTGGGCTCCAGGCACGCGCGAGGATCTCGGCGGCGGAGTGCCCGGTGTTGGCCATTTTGTACGCGTCGTCGATCACCTTCGTGTCATCCAGCATCTATAGAACGGCTGCGGGCAGGCGAGGTGCGAAGCCAGTCTACTGAGCACCCGACGAGCTGAAGGTACGGCATCCTGCAGGCCTGGGCTCCGCGCCAGCGAAATTGGTTGGCTGCACAGGTGCACATCCTGGGAAAACGCTGTCGAACGATACGTTAGCAGTGACTGAGCAAGCGACGAAGCAAAGGCTTGAAGGACAAGTGAAGCGAGGCAATGCGGATGCTTGGTCTCGAAAAGCTTCAAGCCAAATACCAAAACATGGTTCGACAAGCACTCACACGAACAGCCACTAACTCTCAGGAAACGTGTCTCGCTGCGGTTGCGAAAGCAGTAGCACGCACCTTTCTTCTGTGGGAAGGACGAATTGGTTACAGCCGGCTTACCGTTCTACGCGCGGCCTTTTGTTGCGAAGGAGACGCCGCCGCGCACGCTCCCTGTGCGCCTGGCGAATTACATGCAGGAGGCGGAAGTACCGCCGCAGCTTCCGCAGGCATTGCTGCGAGTAGCCGCGATCTTGCCGGTGCTCGGCGGCCCGCTCACGCAGGTTTTCCTCCAGCTCGAGCATGCAGTCCTGGAAGTCCGCCTCCGCCTCTGGAGTTGTGTCTCCTTAGCTTCTCACACAGACACGTTCTGGTGACCGTGCTGGGGCCATGAAGCCTAGGAAAGCCAAGAGACGCGCCAGCTCGAACATCTCCTGCAGGAATGGACCCATGTCGCGATACCAGCGGCCAATCGACATGTCCTGGACGCGCAGACGAAAAACCCTCAGCGAGACTCGGCTTGCCATAATGTTTTGTACGTCGCTACCGGAGACAGGGCAGACCGAGGACGAAGCGGTCGGGACAATAGAGCGTCTTGGGTGGACCCGCGAGGCAGCGATACTGGACTGATCTCAAAAGGCTTCTTACAACATGCAGACTTTGTTCGTCTCGTCGTCAAGAGGGTGCTGCAACACGTCTCAATCTCCGCGCCTGCTTATTAGTCGAACACTGCCTTTTTTTTCTGGCCCTGCGCTGCTGGTAGCGAAACACTCACGGGCCGGCGGCAGCTGCGTCCGCGGACCTCAAAGACGCGGAAAACGTACAAAACTCGGCTCGACCGCTGCTGCTGGGGTTCGGACTCGTCGTCGGTCGGGGGGAGGTTCCACCTCCGTTCAGCAGCGCTGCGCTCTCGATGCGTACGGAAGTTGTTTAGCGAATCAGGCCCGCGCGAGACTGGCGGCACCCACAGCAGTGTCAGGCGGGTGCTGCGAAGCTGCCCAGCTTCGGTGAGGCGGCCTGAGTGGATGCGACTCCCTGCGACTGACGCAAGATTTTATGAGCCTGTTTGGGTGCACGGCCGACCATCTTCCCATCCGAGTAAACCAGCACCGCCGTGGCACCTTTCTTCTGGACCGGAAGGAACTCGTAGAGCCGGTCGTACCACCAGAGCTGACAACAGGACAATTCGGAGACGAATGTCGAAGCACCCGTACACGAAGCGGCCTCGTAGCGGTGTACTTGCCCAGACAGTGTACGCAGGAAGATGCGTCGCAGCCTGGCGGTTTCGAGGATTAGCAGTCTTATAGGACCACAGCGCACCGCATCTGAGGTGCCCACAGTCCGGCCACGTGTTCTGCAAGACGCCGCTGCTGCGCTTTCTTCAGGTACGAAGCACCTGCGAAGACAGAGCTTATACGGGAGAATGAACACATCTGATTCTGCGATAGAAAATTCAGAGGTCCGAGCGAACCATGGCGGCTTGGTACCTGGACATTGACGAGAAGCTTAATCAAGGTTAGAACGATGCTGCATCGGTCCGCCTTGCAGACGGGCGCACAACACAAGAGCTGAGGAGATGTCGTCTTGAGCCGATGTTCAGCGACACGCGCGGTGGTGGATACGGTGCTCTCCCTTGCACATCTGCGAGTATCGCTCCAGGGCTTCACACCTGAGCAGCTGATAGACAACTATACGACTACATCTGCAGGCATTCTGTTTTATGCCTATGCCACGTCACGTCTGAAGGCTGCTGGCCGTGGCTGCTTGTGGGTGAGACGCCGTCGCACTTGGCGTTTGCATCGCCTGTTTCGCCGGCCGTAACGCTGCAAGTCAAGCTGTCGGTACTCTTGGATCCAGTACCTGGCAGAGCGAACGTGCCCGCAGCCACTCCGACAAGATTCTTCCGTGACTCCTGAGGCGGCGGAGGAAGAGCTTGCGGAGAAGAGGGTCCGAGGCTTCCGCGAGGCCCTGGCGAGCAGGAATATTCACTGAAGTTGGTTCCTGGGCACGAGCCCTGCCTTCCGGTTCAGCTCAACCATGTCTGTGCCGTCCCCCAAGTGGTCCCGGATCCAAGCGGCATACCGACGACGGACCTGACGGCATAGGACAGACTAGGATCCTATGGCGATACATCAGCAGCCACAGTAACCTCTGTCCAATCATCCGGCCGTCGATTGAGAGACATGACCTGAACAAGCACAGAAGACCACGACGAAGGACAGAAATGCTTCACACGGCCTCAGCCCGCTAGGGGCTGTTAGCGGCAGCTACGGCTTGCTGTGCTTGGGCACTGACAGTCCGGATCTGGTTATCATGCGTCTGAGCAAGTGTTCATCCCAAGACTACAGTGCGCACTTCTTTTTCTGCCCGCATTCGCTCCAGGCGACGTTTGCCGAAATCGACTGTGCTGCCTGTACCTTGGCTCCATTGCGGGCAGTTGCTCTGAAGATTGTTCAATAATCTGAGCACCACGACAACGACCTGCAACGGGAGCTGTTCTGCAGGCGAGAGACCCAAGTCGCGATCTGTGTTGCCTTGGATGCGAGGCAATATCACGATAACAATGACGCCGACAGCAACAACAACACCAACAACAACGACGCCATCAACATCATCATCAACAACAACAGCAACAGCAACAACAACAGCAACTGCAACAGCAACAACAACCACAGCAACAGAAACGACAACAACAGCAACAACAGCAACAATCACAACCACAACAACAACAACAACAACAACAGCAACAACAACAACGACAGCAGCAACCACAAGAACAATAACACCAACAACAAGAAGAATAAGCATACTAACAAGAACAATGACCACAACAACAACAACAACAATAGTAACAATACGAAGAAGAAGAAGAACAACAACAACAGCAACAACAAGAACAACAGTAGCAACAACAACAACAACAAGAACAACAAGAACAATAACAACAAGAACAAGAATAAGAACAGTAACAATAACAAGAACAAGAATAAGAACAAGAGATGCTGTCGCTACCGGTAATGGTTGGTTTTACGGAAGCACAAAAAAAAGCAAAATTACCCAGGCCTGGTTCCCCCCGAGCCGTCAGTGCCACCTGACGGTCCCGGGGGGATTCCTAACAGTCTCGGACCTTAGTGTGGAGAGCCTCACAAAGTACAAGGTGGCGAGTACTTGCCTTCGCGGGTCCTCCTCTACCTTAAAGGAACGTGCGAAATGGAGGCACGCCTTGCCCGGTACTTTGCCGTTTGCGTGCTGCGGCGCCGTTCTGGACGCGCGGGGTCCGCGCAGCCACGTTGCGTGCATCCACTCAAAACATAGGGAAACGCCTATCGTGGCGGCAAATGCACGCCCGGCCGTGCCCGAGGGCAAGCAAAGGCAACGCCAAAAATCCGACATTTTACGGTGTACGTTTTTTTCAGATTTGCTACGAAACATAGGCATTTCGCTATACTTTGCACAACTGTGCAATCTCCTCTGCGTGGTCGTCGACGATTCGTCCGGGGGGGGTCTGGGGGTGTCCGGGGGGTGTCCGGGGGGGTCCGGGGGGGTCCGGGGGGGTCCGGGGGGGTCCCGAGGATCCGGGGGGGCCCCCCGGACGGACCGTAATTAGAGTACATATAGCATATGTCAAATATGTCATATATGTATTCATAAGTCTATATTTATATATACATTACGTATGTGTACAGATACACCGATAAACATGCATATCTACCTACGTGGATATAAAGATATACCTATATATGTATAAACACACCTATATGATATATATGTATACATATACATATGTATATATATATATATACATAGATATATAGATATATAGATCTACAGGTATATACATATATACATATATACATATACACATATATACATATATACATATAGACATATATACATATACACATGTATTTACATATAGGTATATATGTACATATATATATACACACACATATATACACATATACATATATACATATATACATATACACTGATATACATATATACATATATACATATATACATATATACATATGTACATATATATACATATACACATATACACACATATACACATATACGTATATACATATATACATATACACTGATATCTTGATCTACATATATACATATATACATAAATACATATGTTATATACATATGTATATATATATATATATATATATACATACATCTACACATATACACATATATACACATATACATATATACATATATATATATATATATATATATATATATATATGCGTATATGCATATAGGAATGCATCCATACATGCGTCCGTACATATACACATATTCACATATATATATATATATACATATGCATCTATGCATATATTCATACATACATACATATCTACATATGCACATAAATACATATATATACATCCATACATGTATGCATGTATGCATATCGACAACACACATATATACGTACATATACATACATATATATATATATATATATATATATATATATGTATATATATTATTTATAAATACGTACATACAGACATACATACATACATACGTACATACATACATACATACATTTATGTATACATGTATAAATGCGTATACTTATGACCTTGACACGATCATATCCAACTTCGGTACTCCCCCCCCCCATCTCCCTCCAGATACGGGCCTCCGGTAGTAAGGCACGCGAAATGCCTCTGTTCCTTGCGATTTTTTTCTTTCGGCATGCTCTCACATCGCTGACCAGACGCTCGGGGCTTAAGAGGCTTGGCGACCGCATTAGGAACGTCCCGAACGTTCCACCCGACTCCTTCGCGGGCGCGGCGCTGTTCCTCACCCTGGTTTGGCCTTCCTATCATAGGTCCGACCTCTTCGAAGTAGGCTCGCGCTGCTCTAGCACTTCAAGCACTCTCGTTTACCGTGTTGGATCTGTAGGCCGTGCCACTAGCCGAGAAGGTCTAGATACATAAACAAAAGCATGGAATTGCGATGCTCCTCGACTCTCTTTGCAACTGTGCCGAAACTTCGTTGATTTATGCCATCGGACACGTGCCCTGTTCGAAGCTCCTGCGCGGAACCCTAGCGACGGCTCATTTTTTTTGCGGGCGGGCGCCGCAGCTTCCTCCGCAGCTCACGCGGCACTCTGGCTGCCGCGCGACGTCCTGCAATCAGGCTTGCACGTCTTGGATGGCCATGCTGTCGCGCCGGCGGCGCCGGTCGAGTCTCGGTCTGGGCACCCCGCGTGGAAATCTCCGCGGGGCTGATGCGGAGGTGAGGGCAGCGAGTGCTGCCCTCCAGGGAGGCCGCGACGGCCTGCTGGAGGTGTTGTTCCTGCAGGTATGTAACAATCGTTCGCTCGAGATCTCTTTTTTCGACTTCGTCACCACGAACTGTCTGCCTCCTCTTGCGCCGTCTCCGGACGCACCTCCTCCCAGCCGTCCCTCAGTGCAGGATGTCTTCTCTTCAACAGCAGTAATCC